GGCATGCCTGACCTCTTCTTTAGGGTTCTCTTAAAGTGCATTGAAGACTTCGTTCGCGTACGACACCATGTACACTAGCAGGAAGGCAGCGGGGGGAGAGACAAACACCTCGGTTCCAGATCCTTGGCCGAGATGTTCACAAGCAACCTTCTAACCAGTCTTAAAGAATATGCCCTTGGTGGCCTCGACCTGCTTGGTATTGCTGTCTTCGGCCTCCTTGAAACCGAGATTGTGCGCTGCATCTACTTTATCTTTCCTAGATTGCTTTAACGCTTCCAGCTCGGCCCGGAGAGCACCTCTTTCCTTCTCGGCGGATCCAAGTTGGCCGAGCAATTTGGTGTTGTCCGCATTAGCCATCTCCAATGAAGCCTTGGACCTCCCTAGCTCGGTTTCTAGATGCTTGACCTGATTGGTGGCATCAGTCACCTTTTGCCAGAGTTTATAAATCCGGTCCATCACGAGATGTTGTTTCTGGATGGTAAGAGGACGTGTTAGAGTTCAAATAAGAAGATTAACCGTGAAAACACTTGAACAAATTTGAGTAAACATGCATAGCTCTTACCCTGGTCATGGATTTAACCAAGGACTTCACGAGCCAAGTGTTGGGCACGTGGTCACTACCGGTTATGTCGCTCGGTAGAAGCAATGCTTTTGTCAGATCAAAAGCCAGAAGGTGTTCTTTATCGCTCTTGACTGAGGCGTTGGCCGGGATCTCCTTACCCCAGTGTTTCAATTGTGGCTGCGATGGAGGCGTTGGCTCAGATTCCTCCGCCGGTTGCTCGGCGCTCAACTCTGCCACAAGCTCGGCTGTTGGATTGGTAGATCGAGGCCTTTTTTCGGCTCAACAACTGTTCTTACTAGCTTGCGCCATTGTGGTCGACAGCAATGCAATCACGATCCCAGATGTTTGACCGACAGTAGAGGCTCCGGGGGAGGGGGATGCTCGGCAACTCGGTGGTTGTGCCTGTAATGAGATTCTTGATACAGCTCCGTTTGGCCATTTCCTCTTCCTCGGTTAGCCGGAGTAGGGGCACGTCTGGAAGTGTTGGATCAGGCGGTGGGGATGGTTCTCACAGAAAGTTTGTGACTCTACTTCTGCGAGTAGCCATGTATCGATAGCTTGGTACGTAATCGAGAAGGCCATGGTAATCTCGGTGACGATACTGCAGCACGGCTCTGATCGCAGCCTCATTTGGGTTGAAGTAATTCACTTGCAAGGCTTCGATAGCTGCAAGGAAAAAAACGATTAGTACAAAATAGTAATGGAAAGTAATTTGATCAGTCAGTGACCACGGCTTACATGTCGAACTGAAGTTTATGCCCGAGGGTGTATTAGTGCAAAATCTCAGCCAATCCGAGGTTCAAGCTAAGCCAGTTCTTCAGCTCGGCTACCCCATTTATTATTCTGAAGGTGTTTATCGAAACTTGTGTTGGCGCTAGCCCGGTACGCCTCAGGAACTCATACATTAAAGGCTGAACCGGGAAATGTAAACCTCCCTCAATTATAGACAGCACAGTGAAAGGGCATTGATCCAGTCTACCCCAAGGGGTAGTGCCTTCTACACCGAGCTCAAGGTGGACGTCTTCAGGGACGCCATACTCCTCCCGAAACACGGCTAGTGCGCCCGGCGTTTTAACGAGGAAGCGGTAACTCCCCATGTGAAGATGGCTTGTTTCAGCAAGATGGTGTTGGTTTGGTAGAGTTTTGTGCGATGGCTGCTAGGCCTTTGAGAGCCCTGGTGTTGGTGTCTGGTCTCCTAGGACTCTGCAGTAAAATCTAAGTGTAAGTGGTAGCGCGGTCGCGCAAACGAGCTCGACTTTAGCTCGGTCACAGGAGGTGTAGCAGTACCTCGGTCGCAATGGGCATACCCAGAAGTTCAGTCGCTCAAGTGGACCAGATATGAGCCCGGTCGAGTGGTCTAGCATTTTGTTACCTCGGTTCTCACACAAGTCTTAAAAAACTTATAACTTGCTCGGTTCTATTATGGTTTAGGATCAAACGAAGACTAGGATCTCGGTTGATCCCAGATTTTGGTACCTTCATCACAAAAGATGATGAACAGTTATAAGGGTGGTTTTTTGCGAATACAGTGGGAAGGAACCCTAACCTAACTTCATTTGACGCCCTAAAACCCACAATCGTTATGCCCTAGACTTACTTATGTGGGATGATTCCTAAGAATGAGAAGGACTTACCAATTCAAGGATGGAGGATACTTTCGCGCGACATTGGTGAGTCCAAATCCACCAAGAGGATACTTTGAGTATGGTTGCGATGTAGCTTTGGACCACAGGGTTGCAAAGGGAAAAAAATACGCAGTAAAGTGAGAGGGTGAAAGGGCATCCGATATATATATGAAAGCAGAAAAGGTGCCAAAATTTGAAACTAAAGAGACAGCGTGCGGCGGTTGGGTTGGCTTAACGAGGCCAATTGGCAAGAGACACGTGGCAGTAATAAGACTATTGTCAGAATTGAAGAGACAGGAAGTAACGTTGAAATGCTGACCGAGCTGATTAGTGATTTTGGCCGAGGAAGGTAATCTCGGTCATGCTGGCGCAGACGGGATTAAGGAGCCATTGAGAGGGTGATTCCTTGATCTGACTTTGAACTAAACTCGCTTGGGCCGGGCTGAGAGGGGCCAAGCTTATTCGGCCAAGCTGAGTCTGTGTGATCAGCGGACCCTTGGGTTTAGGACCCCGGTCCGGTTAAGCTGGAGTAACTTTGGCCCGCTAGCCTAGTGGGATAGCGCACTTCAGTGAGTTAGACATAACTCCTAAGTGAGTACCAATCGGGTAGGAGAGCTTCCGGAATTAAAGAGCTTGGCCGAAGTACTACTCGGTGGGAAGCGATTACGGAAACCGGTCAAAAGGAACGGTTGGGTCAGCAGGTCGTGGTGCTGCACTATCAGTAGCCCGGTTGGAAGTGTTGCATGGTTGCACGGCATCGTGGAATAAAGGTTCTGCGAATCGTACACTAATTTCGTTTGGCGGTTCTTGTTAGGAGGGGTTTAGCTGTTTTAGCGTTGACACGTGGGGAAATGTGAGAGGGGAGCAGGTCCACGTGTCCCAAGAGGAATGGGTACGAAAGTGCGTGCAGAAGGTATATAAACATGACTGCGCCCACCATGCTGGGGATGGAACATCTTTTAGTGAGAGAAACACTAATACAATGTCTTCTCTCTCTTCTCTCTCTCTGAGTGTGTGCTAACTTGACCATCGGAGGGGTTTTCCAGCAATGCACCGCCAGGTAGCTCACCTTCGTTGTGTTTGCAGGTCGTTCGGAGGAAGGCGTAGCTTAGATGCAAGGAGTACGGGTGGTAATGGATATTTGGCTCCCGTACAAACTTGATCCTAATTCTAGCTCCACAGACTTGGTCGAATTAGGTTCAGACTCAACACCCAATTCAGAAAGTAAAATGAAATCATTCTCAAATTGCTAAATACAATGCGTACCATCCACTACGTCCTGAACGAAATGTGTGCAATCATCCGGTGGTTCATTCCCGACCACAAAAATTATCACAATATCCCCTGAGTTTATTAGTGCCACACTAGTTTCAAAATCTATCACAGATTTAGCCAGTGTCAAACCCAGAACTTCTTCAGTGCTTTTTGGCTTCTTGATCAATCCATGGCTCAAGAAAATTATAAACAGGGAAGTGCATACCGTGAGAATATCTGTCAATATCCTACTTTGGCTCTAGATCATCTACCACCATAGAGTTTTGGGATTGTGGTTGAGATCGAGGCGCATATATCATGAATGAGTCAGCACTCTTCGGTAGTAGCACATCGGACTTGGGCAAATAGGAAAGTGTGATGTATACGCTAGGGTTGAAGGTGGATGGTAGTGTATGAATAAGGTTGAGATGGGAAAGCAGTGAGAATTGGTCATAGGGTGGAAATGGGTTGGAGGTAAGCTTAGCTCTTTAGGGTTGAGGTGGACCTATGATCCTATTATCAATAAGATCTTGAATCCCACGATGAAGTTGGAAGCAACGGTCAGTATCATGACCGTGTTGTTTGTGGAAGACACAATACTTGGTGGGATCATAGTTATGTGGAAGTGGATTAAGAAGGGTTGGGGATAAAAGAGCTTGAGGTACTCCTTTTTCACTAGTATTTCCGTAGCTTGAGTTGGAGACATGTAGAGGGGGTGAAACCTTCGGTTGAAGTGGTTAGTTGTGGGTCGATATTCGCAAAAGGGTTAGCCATTTTAGTAAAAATGGTGATAGTGTTGATCTCTGAGGGTATGGAATAGACAACTGTGCTACTACTGACAGTATTATTGGAACTGCAAATCAATGTCTTTCTCACGGGCTCATTTCCTTCCGTAATGATCTCTTGTTTGATAGTATCCTCAATTTGAACCCCAATCTCATAGAAGTCCTTGAAATTGAAGAGGGAAAGAACTATCAGTTTCTACAGTAATCTTCTATGAAGATTTTTGACAACCATGAGGACTTGATCTTTCTCCAAGGATCGGTTTGTCATCGTGGCTGCATTTTCCCTCCACCTGGTCATAAATTCCATGAAGCTCTCATTGGGCTCTTGTCGAGTTGCCTCCAGTTCCCGGGTGGTTATCTCAATCCGGGTATTGTAAGAATACTGGGTGATGAAGGCCTAAACTAACTCCTCACAACTCTTTTTTATCGAGTCTTCCAATTTAGCATACTAGATGGAAACTACACCAGATAAAGTTCTCCCAAACAAGGAAAGTTTTGAGGCTAAGTCAGGCCCATCGATTTTAGGACATCGAGAAAAGATGAATGTGAACTATAGGGTCACCAGCTCCATCAAATCTGTCAATGTGTGGCATTTTAAACTGTTCCAGCAATTTGAAAACTATGTCTATATACCCATCTTCTATATCCAGAATGATCCCTTGTGATTTTCTAAATATTTTCCCTAATTTGGATATTCTTAGTATAGTTGGGTCAATTTCACCAATATCCGTGGGGGAAAAGTCCTCCCATTGGTTGTGTAGGAACCATAAGATCTTATTGTAGATTAGGTTCATGAAGCTCCTCAATTGGTGGAGGTGGTTCCAAATCCAAATGAACCATTAGAGGTGGATGAGATGTGGACACCTCAAATGGGCAATGCAATTCGGCGAAAGCCTCCCTGTTGGTGACAAACTTGTTGGTAATAACATCCATGCTTTGTTGAAGGGTCAAAAGCATGTTTACTATAACTACTGGAGGCTGGTCCGTTACTGTTGGAGGTTGGTCCGTCACTACTGGAAGTGGGTCCGTTACTACTAAAAGTGGGTCTATCACAGATCCTAGAAATTTCGGCTGGTGAGATTCTGACAATGAGGTTTTAACCTTCCTCCTCGTAACTAGCAGTAGAGAAACTAACATTAGCTATCCTTGAACCAAATCTGCAGTTCTACTAAGTCTACCAACGCAAGTCCGCAAAACTTGGGGGATATTAGACCATTCTGAAGCTATAGTGTCACAATTACCTAACAAAAACAAAACGGAACTCCCAATCGAAATTTCGATAGCATTTCAGCTCAACTAATCATTATGCACATTGAAATCAATCACTCAAATGATATGCCTAACCCACTAATTAGATTTGAAAACCCTAGTGTAACTCGACTTTTCGTGCTCCTTTCGGATACGATAGCCCTACAATTCGGACTCTCACGGTTTTGAATCTGATCTCACAAGTGCAATGTGAAATAGATAAACACTAAAGAGTCCAATCCGACAAATCTTTTGGAAAATCGATGTTGAATGAAAATGCCAAAAATGGACTGCTTTTCTAGATACAAAGTTGCCATCTAAATATTTTTGGGAGATTTAGGAAACCCAGGACTTCTGCCAAAGGCCATGTGTCTGTCATCACCAAGATTGTCTCGACTCGAGAACTTAGGTACGAGAGGGAAAGGTCATGAATTGAGCACCGCTGCTCGCCCGATCAAATATCGTCCTCTACTAATCATGATGTGATTCTTACTTACATTATATGCTCTTGTTCCGATTATTAGGCTATTGTTACTATGTGATTTTTTTGGGTAAGTAAGTCGTAAATTAAAGACAAAAGAATACAAATACAAGGGGCATACCCCAGGCCCTACCAAACTCTATACAACAATGAAATAGAAAACAAAAGACAAACGGGCAGCACCATGGCACACCAAACCCAAAAAAAAAAAAAAAAGAAGGGGCCCACCTGATAAACAGAGCAAAACAAATAGGACAAAATAAGGCATCTGAAAGATATGTTAAAGGGCCACATGGAGAACATGAGGATCATGAACATACATATAAGCAGATAGTAACCTAAAGAGGAGGGAACAAATAACCCTATACAACCCGCTAAGAAGTCCCCAAAAGCTTGAGAAGCAACTCAAGATCAAAACAGAAACATACATGTGAAGAGAATAAATAGATTACCCTTGCACAGCCCGCAAGGGAAGGCGAAACCAGCAAAAATAAATACAAGCATTTTCCACAAATGAGACCAAAAAAACCAAATTGCATGCTACTAGCATCTAGAAAACCCGTAGATCTGCCAGCATCCACAGTAGCTGCAACACTCATCCACAAACTCAGATGATTAGTAAAACATGTCCAAGTGTGAAGATAAAATGAGAACAGCCAAACAGAGAACTGCATATGCTCAGGCTACAATAGTATGATATATATAATATGGGAACTACCATCACTCAACCCACAATATATAACATCACACCACTTGGCAATAGATAGATAGCACACAATATGTAACCTTACAACACTCAACCCACATATATGGACTCCACCATGCACTGGGAAACTGATTAGACACATGCAAAAACAATAAGAAAATATATACAGATATATGTAAACATTAGACGATTCTTTCACTTTTGGATAGAAAGAGGGATTGTATTTGTTCCTCATAAACTCAACCACAGCGGTATATAGCAAACCTCACACCAATTACGAAGAGACTACAACAATCGCAAACAATTAGAAACACACAATATATACTCACTTCCACTCAACCCACAATTTCTGAACCCATAACACTCAAGTACCAGCTGCATCCACCAATAAGTTATCCTTGACCTGATTTTAGGATAGAGTTTGGGAGGAACCACTTCACCATAAACCAAGCATTTGTCACCTCCTCTTTGAAGCTCGAGATGGACAAGATCCTATTTCTCACAAGGCTTCTAATTCTAGCATGCACAGCCACCTCAGTGGATTTTGAGCCTTTGAAAATCTTGCAATTTCTCTCAGTCCAAATACAGTAAACAGAAACAGTAAACACAAGTTTAGAAATAGTGGCAGCCAAAGATTTGCCCTTGATATTCCTGCTTAACCAATCTACCAAATCTATCTAGTCAAGATAAGGAACAATCAAATTGCACATACCCTGCATACCATTCCAAACTTTGTAAGAGAATGGGCATTTAAAAAACAAGTGATTATGGTTCTCAAGCCCAACCCCACAGAGACAACAAATAGAAGAGTTGCTAGTACCAAAGACAACAAGCCTATCAAGAGTGTTCAGTCTATTATGTATAGCAACCCAAACCACAGTACTAGGAATATGAAACTTGAACCATAGGATCTTAGCCCAAACAACTCTAGAACCATGGGTCCTCCACTCGTCCCAAGAAGATTTAATGGAGAAATGCCCATCAGAAGATGGCAACCACACCACCTTATCATTCACTAATGAAGGTTTCATATCTGCCGGGACAGCAGCCTTAATCTCGTTCAACTCCCAAGTACGACACACAGGCCATTTCCACCTAGAGCCATAAATAACAGCCTCCACTTTAGCAAACTTCTGGATCCCAGAGTTAGAAATAACTCTGTCTCCAAATCTATTAAAAAGAGGCCCAAGAGGGAGCCAGTTGTCAAACCACAAAAAGGTAGCCTTCCCATTACCAACATTATATTTAATCAGGGGAGCAATAATACTCCTCAAATCAAGAAGCTTTCTCCAGACCCAGGAAGGGTCACTAGGAACTTTGAGGCACCAAAAACTTCTACCCTTTAACAAGTAAGACTTAACCCATTGACACCACATGGATTGCTCACCCCCCGAAAACAAAAACCAAACATGCTTGGCAATAACAGCTTTATTCCACACCTCAATAGATTTAAACCCTAGACCACCCTCATTCCGAGGAACACAAAGGTGCACCCAAGCAACTTTTGCTCCAGACTTTTTCAAATCAGGACCATTCCAAAAGAAAGCCCTCAGACAAGATTCAATCTCTGTTACCACTTTCTTAGGGAGAATGAATAACGAAGCCCAATAAACCTGCATAGAGAACAAGATAGATTTAATCAATTGGGCTCTCCCGGCATAAGACAACACTTTATTGGTCCACAATTGAATCCTCTTGGTAATCCTAGCCACCAATTAATCACAATCTATTTTACGCAGTTTAGTTGAGATAAGAGGAACCCCCAAATACCTCACAAGGAGATTCCCCTCTTTAAAATCCATAATGGAGAGTAACTCACCCCTCAAGTGACAATCCATACCCGCAAAAAACATATGACTCTTGAGAGGGCTGGGGGATAAACCAGAGAGCCCTTGGAATTCATCAAGAGCCTCCTTGATAAGAGACACAGAATTAATGTCCCCTCTGCAAAAAATCATGAGGTCATCAGCAAAACAAAGATTAATAATTTTATTCTTCTCACACCTCCAGTGGAACTTAAAATTAGGACTCTCAGCTTTCTTAGCCAACTCTCTAGCTAAAACCTCCATAACAATAACAAACAGGTAAGGGGAAATAGGGTCCCCTTGTCTAAGCCCTCTAGCACCCCGAAAATAGCCACAAAGCTCCCCATTAATACAGATTGAGAAAGAAAGACTAGTAATGCAAGCCCTAATCCAACCAATCATCCTACTAGGGAAGCCCATACCAGCAAGAGTATCAAATATGAAATCCCATCTCACATTATCATAAGCTTTCATGATATCAACCTTCATTGCACACCTAGGAGACCCAGAACCTCTATGATAACCTCTCATCAATTCTTGGGAAAGGAAGATATTATCCGAAATCCTCCTCCCTTGAACAATTGCAGACTGGACTGGATCAATAACATCAGGGAGAACCTTCTTAATCCTATTTGCCAAAATTTTAGCAATACACAGTTACTATGTGATGCGCACACAAGTATAGACTAATTTGCAAAAATTGGAACACTTTGATTCATGTTTGTTTTTGAAAATTGTTTCGAATATGTACCACTTGAAAAAATGATAGTACATGTACATTACTCAAATTATTCCAATTCAAACAACTAGCCATTATCCACAGGCATTGAAGTAATTTATTAATTAAGCACTTAGCCTCATGGCAAGCATGCTAGACATGGCAACAATCACACTCATGCGATATGCTAAAGCACAAAAAATGCTCACCTCGTACTCCAAGGCAAGCCAAAAGAAACAAAAGAGTTAGAAAACATGCATGCTCCTAACTAATGCAACACATGCGATATGTAACTAATAGGCTCGGCTACAAATTATGACATGTGAACCAATTTGATAACATGCAGTTCAAGCATGTTTTCAAAGAAGTAATAAATAACAATGCTTTGTTAGAATGATGAACCGAGCATCTATTCATGCAAGACAAGTGGATGTAAATCATGGAGTATGCTAAAAAAAACATGATGTTCTAAACTGCCCATCATAAGCAAGTAAATAAAAGGGAGAAAGACGTGGGATTGAAAGACACATACATTATTACAATTATGCCCTCACACAGAAGGGTCTGAATAAACTAACTAGCTAAGCTAATTAACTAGCTATTACAAAATGAATTAACTAATTATTACAAATCGAATAAACTAACTATGCCAGCTAGTTATTACAAAACCAATTAATTAATTAATTAGCTATTCTATGGAACTAACTAATTAATTACACTAATTAATTAATTACAAATTAGAATTAACTAATTAATTACAACATGAAAGAAGTAACTAAGCTAACTAATCATCCCCGGGAAGCGAGGAATGCTCATGCATGCACGAATTTCCACTAGAAAAACCCACTATTCTGCTGCCAAAATGCCACTCTTGCACAATTAGAATATCTTTTCAACTCAGCCTCTACTCTGTTCTGTTCCAAAAAGTTATTGCTTAATTTGACAAAAGTGGCCAGCAGGCCAGAAGTAATGGCCGGCCGGCTAGCCACAGAAGGTAGCCTGCCGTCCAAAAAAAAGTGGCCTGCCGACCACTAAAGCCTGATTCCTCATTCTACAATAAAAAGCATACAGAGCACAAACAAGGTATTCTCAAGGTATTTTTGTCCACCCTGCCTCTCCTTATCATCAAACAGCTCAAAGGAGTGGTAGGCTTGATTTGCAAGCCATCAATCGATGCAATTTCATTGCATGATGGCCTATGAATCAAGGGGTACAATTTCAATAAATGCACAATAAAAGACTCTCAAACCACCTCCCTATCATGGATTGATCAAGGGAAGTGGTTGACATTGACTCTTGAGCCATTTACATCACTAGCAAGTATGAAACGACTCAAGACTCAATGGGTTCAATTAACGACTGATTGAACCCAAGTTGATTTTATTATCTTGCATCACTTTTAGTCTTAATTTTATTACTTTATTTTAATTACCATCCATTCATTAATCAATTAAGTCCAAAAGTGATGATTAAGTCCTCTAATGGAAAGAAGTACCAAACCAAGTGTTATTTTAGGCATGAGAGAAATGTCATGCCATTGGTAATGAACCCCCAAAGGGATTAAACCATTAAGCACAATACCTCTATCTCAAGCTTAAACAAACAAGTAGTTTGAAACAACTTTCAAAGCAAAGAAAAATCCAAGAAATGAGGGAGGTTACAGAGGTGATTAGATATGAAAACAAGTATGAAAAGCAAGAAATAAACACTATCAACTCAAATAGATTGGTGGCTAAGGCCTAAACCACCAAACTTATGAGGACCATTATACTACAAGCATGCTATACAATGCATAAATGAAACAACCAGCCTAAAACAGTCCTAGAGTAAGCAAAAACAGTGCTAAAATTCACATGAAAAAGCTTGAAAAAGTTAGCTACAATATTGAGGAATTTAAGCCAGTAAACAAGCATAAGGAGGGGAGGCTAACCCCTCCATTTTTGGGACTTCAAAATGACATTTTTAATCTCTAAAAATCTCTAAAAATCAGTGGTAAAAAGCTCAAAAAAAATTGAGAAAAGAATGGGAAACACAAGGGTAAAAGCTTAGAGAACAATGTTCAAAGAAGGGTGGTTAACCCCTCCACCTTTGGTAGCTTTAAACCACAAGTTTCAGCCCATAGAAACAGTGTAAAAATAGTTTAACATCAGCAAGAAAAGACAGAAAACAAGTAGTGTAAAGATGCTTAAAATTATACCTCTTGAAGCAAGACAATTCTTTTGTTCACAAACCACAAAGCTTACACTCTCAAGGGCTAAAATTTGGACTCAATAATCTCAGCAAGGAGAGCTCCAATATTGGTTTAGGAAGTGTGGAGAGAGAGTGAATAGGTTGCAACATAGAGATAGAGAGAGAATTTCAAGTTTTGGTCCCTTTAGAATTTTTTGTAACCTAAAAACAAGAGGGTTGGCCTGGTATATATAGAAAAACAGCCTTTCAGGTCAAAAATATCTGTATAGGGACAGCTGGAGCTTTTGGGGGATAGCTGGCAACAAATATCTGGGTTTTAGCCACTAATAGTGGGTGGATGTCCACAAATAGTGGGCTGCCGGCCACAAAAATCGGCTTCCATGCCCGACTTCAAATGGGCATATCTCCTTCATCTGGACTCGGTGTCAAGCCATTCTTGAGTCTAAATTAAAGCCCCAAAAGTCTAATTTCCAATGGAGGTGGCCTCACATATAAATTTTAAGTGTGAAAAGAGATATGCCTATTTTATTAATGGTTGCTCATTTTTATCTTAACCGGATGGATGCCTAACTTCAAATGGCCATATCTCCCTCATCCAGATCGGATTTAGAAGATTCTTGAGACTAAATTGAAGCTCCAGAAGTTCAATTTCCAATGGTGGTGGCCTCACAACTAAAGTCTAAGTGTGCAAAGAGATAGGCCTGATTTAGTGTAGGCTGCTCAGTTTTCTCTTAACGGTTTCATCCTTAACCATTTCCCCAACTAGTTTTCTTCCCTCTCCTCCAATTTTCTGCAAATCCAAACCTATAAATAAGAGGTTTTAAATATTTTTCAAAGAATTCACCTCTCTTCCATTTATTTCCACTTTGTCCTTACTCGATTTACCGAAAAGTGTATTTTTTTAATGAATTACAAGCCTCGGAACATCGTAGAAACTTTTGAAAAAAATATTTTAGAAAAGAGGGTTTTGAGGTCTAAAATAGTTTTGATCAAAATGGAGTGTAAGGTTGGGATTTGAAGCTTTCTCGCTGAAAAAATTAACCGTTTGTACAGCATAACTTTCTTCATCGAGTGATCAACCTGAAGCACCCAAGTCTTAAGGGCAGTCAAAAATGGGGTGTCTACACCTAGATCCCAAACATTACACATAGCAGGAAAGAGATCAAACACCCCTATGGAGGGTAAGGTTAGCCTGTCCTAGCATTGACATGATCTAGGATTTCACTATTCACACAAGCAGCATTATACATCCTAGAATGGGGTAGCATCCTATCCTAATGTTGGAAGTTGCTAAAGCTTACTAGATGCACTAGGTCATTCTTGGTCAAAAAGTGGTACCTCTGCAAGACACCAATATACCCACCCAATCCGGCAGATCAAGCGGTATGTGGTGAATCCGATTCTAAGGCTTGTGCTCCCACCATATTAGAGCCCATGTCCGTTTATTCGCCCTAAGCCGAATAGTTGTCCAGGATAACAGGTGATGAGCATGGGACTTTGGTGCACCAATGCATAAAATGCAATGAACATATAATTGAAAATAAAAGTCGTATCATGGAATTCGAGTCAAGATTTCTTAATATTCCCAGCGGAGTTGCCAAAAATAGTAACATGTTGGGGGGGGTACCTGTACGCGTTAAACAATTCGAACCCTCGATTTCTTCGATCTAGTCTCATAAGTGCAATGTGAAACATAGATGAGAGTTCAGATTTGACAACTTTTATAGATAAAAATGAAAAATAAAAATCCATTTTATTACAAATTCTTTGCCAGAAATGGACTACATCACCAGATCTTAGAGTTGCCACCTAATATTTTGAAAAAATTAGGAAACCTGTGACTCATGCCAAGGCCATTGTTCATCGTAACCAATGATGCTTGGCTCAAAACCTTAGATATGAAGGGGAAGGTCATTAATTGAGCACCCCCGCTCACTTGATCAAAAGATCAGCCTCTACTAAGCCGTGATATGAGTTTTATTAACTTCCTATGTTCACATTCCAATTATTTATAGAATCCTAAAATTTACTATGTAAAGCAAAACAAGTATAGACTGTGTCGTCCATTTTAGAACAACTTGATTTCATATATGTTCAAAATGTTTTGAATAGTGAAATCATGAAAATCAATTTCATTCCAAATTAAACAACACAACCTTCACCTGTTGGCATGCATAGAGTTTTATCAAATAAGCACGTAGCCACATGGTAGGATGCTAAACATAGTAGAAAAATACACACAAGCGGGATCCTAAAGCATGAAAACTTACATATTTACTGACGTCCTGCAAATAATTACAAAACAAAATTAGTAAAACATGCATAATCCTATATACAAGATCTTAATGCAATTCACTCATGTGAATCATCTCAAAACATGAGGTGGCGCACAAAGTCATATAATAATCAATTAAACTCACTGAGGCAAATTTAGCTATATCTTAAGGCATAAAACATAGGTGCAAAGCATGGATATGATGACAAATAAAAGAATATTATTACAGAATATGAAAACCAAATAAAAGAACAGGATAGAAAGAAATAGGAGGGGAAATTATTACAACGCTTTGAATATTACAAATCCAAATAAAAGGGGTTGAGGAATGAAAACATAACAACAAAATATAAAACCTCACAACTCTCTCAAAATACAACAAAAATAGTAAATATGTATGCCTTGGGGATCGCCGAAAACCATTCTGCTCGACACCGGAAGACAT